TTCTTTATAATTTTCTCTCTTTTTTTTTTGGCCTTTTTGGATTGAAATGGTGGTACTTTCCTATTGTTCTTCTCCGTTAGAAACCTCTCTATTTATTTATGTCTAAATTATTATAATTTTATGAAATCATCCAATTATGTTACTCCTATTACTTTTCTTTTGATCTCTAAATTAACATACTAAAAATTCACATTTTTAAAAAATATTTTGACAATCAATTATACAGAGCATTTGAATGATGAAAAATGAACTGATAATATAATAAAATTAGTAATGATTAATTGGATGGTAAAACTTAGTCAATTTCATACAAAACTTTGTACGTGACTAATACATGTGATGAAATATATTATGAATGATGTTGATTTTCGAAAATAATTTTTAAACTAATTTCATTGAATTGTATTATAAAGAATACAATGAAGAGAAATCTAGTCCTCGTCACTGTGAGTGAGTGCACGATGAATTGATGTACTCTATATTTCTAATCAATGGCTAGTCATCTCAAGAACACAATTAACCACAATAACAAAATTCAAAACCGGAAATTTATGATGCAATTTTGAATACTTTCCTACCGATCTATTCTCAAAGGACCATGTTTCTGATTCTTCTATCCGATGTAGAACAACTAAGGATTCACAAAATGTTGAAGACATATTTATCCAATAACATGCAAGGATTTTACTGCCTATTGGCCATTGCCAATTCTCTTCTAGTAGCATTTTTTAAAATAATTATTAACCGGTTTATTGCATAAGACATTTCATTTTACAGAATAAGTTTTTAAGCTCGTATGTTGGTTTCATAATTGATCAAGGTCCATAATTTAGAGTGTTTAAGCAATTTAAACGATGGTATATAAAATGATATTCACATTTTGTACTTGATATTTGAAGCTTCACTTGTATCCATCAGCTTCTCACAGTTTTAATTAAACTTGATATATGCATACTATGGTGGGATGGAGCAGCGCTTGAATGCGTCTTTTCAATGTGATAGTTAATTTTGATGTCTCGAGGATATTCTATGGATTTTATTTTTTTTAGTGTAAGTGGAAATTTTTGAATTCAAAACCATAAATGAGAGATTTTGAATTCAAAAAGAGGTCTGTGGAATTCTTTTTTTTTTTTTTGGTTAGATAGGAGGGCTTTAGACCCATTACAAGGTAACTAATCTAGGCATAGTAACACCTACTACATCATATGCTAACCACTTCCTCAACTCCTCAGGTGGGGACGCAATCTCCTGAATTCCTGGCTCTAGACTCAAGCTTCTCTTGGCTAACCAATCCGCACACAGATTACCCTCCCTCCATTGGTGTATTACCTCACATTCCCATCGTCGCCCCTTTAACCCTCTAATCTGGTTGATCTGCTCCAAGAGCGGGCTCTCATTTGGCTCCCGGTCAATAAGCTTTAAACTAACTTTAGAATCCGTTTCAATGATTACTTTCTTATACCCCTTGTCCCAGGCTGTCTTCATTCTAAACCAGATAGCCCACAGTTCAGCTCCAATACTGGTCCTCTGGCCCAGATTTGCCCAAAAACCACCAATCCATGTTCCGTACTCATCTCTTAAGAGCCCGCCAGCCCCTGCAACACCACTCCTGGAACTATACGCCCCATCTACATTAACCTTTATCCAACCTCTCTCCGGTTTAGTCCATCCGATATTTATAGTTTGTCTTTCCCTGCTCCTAGCTTCCCTGTCTAACATTCTTTGATTAGATTCCAACAGTGTCACTATCATTTTATCTAGATTATCAAGCTTACTGCTGTCCATATTAATGCAAAAATTATTCCTGCCCCCCCATATTGAGTACACCACCTGTTGGAAAACTGCCTGCCTGTCGAAGTGATCCCATTTGCCTTTATTACCTCTCTTCAGGTTCCAGTCTTCTCCACTATTGCTGTTAAATTCCGCCCAAAATTTTGGATGAACTAGAGTGTACCATATCTTTCTAGCCCAAGGACAGTCTCTTAAAGCATGGAGCTGCGTTTCCGGGTCCTGCCCACATATCTTGCAATAACTACATTTCTGGAGATGTCTTCTCTTCTTTTCTGCATTAGTTAAGAGTCTTTGGTGTCTAGCCAACCACATTACGAACTGCAATCTGCCCGGTCCTCTTTGCTTCCAAATTTGATCCCAACCTTTTTGATCCGGGACTGCTTCTTCATTGCTTTCCAGATTATACGCAGTTCTAGTTGAAAACACTCCCCCGGGTTCCAGAGTCCAAACTGGCAAATCCCTGTTGGTCCCCTCTTCTTCTAAATGTACGTCCCTGAGCCTACTTAACATTCGGATAGGTAAGAAGAGCTCCAATTCATCCATACTCCAACCCTCCCCAAGTACCCAATAGTCCCTGACCCTCTTATGCATCTCTCCTGGTGGAATTTCCCTTTCGCTCATTTCCACTAACGGCTTTTCTACTAACCATATGTCCTTCCAAAATCTAACATCCACCCCATTTCCCACTTTCCACCTTACTTCTTTGCTCAAAACCTTCTGCCCCTCCTCCATACTCCTCCAAACAAAGGATTTTCTCCCATTCCTTCCCGGTTCTTTATATTTGTTTCGAAGAACCCTTACCCACAACGACTCCTTGTGTTGCAGAGCTCTCCAGTTCAACTTAGCAAGAATTGCTCTATTGGTCTCCCTCATTTTTCGTATCCCAAGTCCTCCTTCCTCTTTGTCCCTTGTCACAGTACTCCATTTCACATGATGAATTTTCCTGTACTCTATTGAGGTCCCCCATAAAAAATCCCTTGCACATCTCTCTATTTCATCTAGAACTGAACATGGCAACATAGCCGTTTGCATGATATATAATGGAGTTGCAGCTAGCACTGACTTTACCAGAGTTGCCCTTCCTGCAAATGACAGTATTTGCTTTTGCCAGCCTACTAGTCATTTTTTGACTTTCTCCACAACTGGTCGAAAGGTACTTTTCGTTACCCTCCCATGTATTAGAGGCACACCCAAGTATTTTCCCAAGTCAACCGTGATCTCTATTCCAAATCTCCCTTTTATCTGCATTTTCGCACTTCAGGGTACGTTTAAGGGTTAATTACATTTACCTCCCTTGAGGTTTGACCAAATAACGAATTGATCCCTGAGATTTGACCAAATAACAGTTCACCCCTTTGAATAAACAGACATTTAACAATCACCCCCCTACTGTTAAGAGACGTTAGTCATTGTACTTGACATCAGGAAAAAGAAAACTTGGAATGACGAAATTGCCATTTATTGTATCCAGCTGTCATGAAGATTAATTATAGTTCCGAAAATACCCTTTTCATTAAAAATATATAATTTACATCCCAATCACGTTTGACTTGAGAAGAAAAACACATCCCCATTGCCTACCTTTATCTGGACAAAAAGAGAGCCCATTTTCCCCAAGTTTAACGAGCAAAAACTTCAAGAGAACAACAACAACAAAACTTGGAGAGAATCAAGCTACTTGCGTAAAAATCAACTTGCCGCTACATCAGGTAAGCATGTGCTGGTTCCGAATCATAATGTAATGGTGAGTTAACATAAGTAGAAACGTGACCTGGCGATGTTATATATCTGGATTACTTGCATTTGAACTGGCACAAAATGGTTGAGCACGAGACATGTTGCAATGTTACTTGCATAGTTTACAGATTGGACAGCATAGAATTCTCAGATCTCAGAGTTAACTTGCGTTGATATTTAAGCCTATTACTTCATTATGTGGAAATCTGAGTGGTAAATGAAAAAAAAAGGGGCAAATTCTCAGATTGTTGCATCTACCAAATATGCATTGTGTCTACTGTGCTTGTTATCTTTTAGGTACAGAGCAACTTACTTACTGCAACTACTGCAGCATCACCCACAACAGAAGTCGTCTATAGAGCCTTGGTGCTGAGCAGAATTATGGCCTGTTGATGGGGTGATCCTACTGTCTGAGAGGAGTTATGGTTACTCGTATCATTCTTGGTAAGCTTTCTGGAGATTTTTCATTCAACCATTTCTTACACGTTGGAAATTCTGTCTTCCAGAGTAAAGCGCCAGAATCACTCAAAGCATCTAACGTACAATAGATTTTGGATTCCAACTTTTCCAAGCATTTATTGTGCAATTGTTAGAATAAGACTTAGGGGAACCTGTTTTTGCGCCTGCTATTATTGTTGCCTAGCGTCGGTATGTAATTTACCACTGTAGTATTTGATTTTACTTCCAATTTCAAATGACAGCAAATCAGCTGCTTCAACTGCAGATTCTCTTTACTCATTATTCTCTTGAAAGGGAGAGAATCTTTAAATGATGGACCAGCTCCTTCAGCACTCTTTCTTCTTGTGATCTCACATATGAAGAGAGATGTTTACTACGGCAGCTAAAAGGAAAGCTAGGTTTCCTGGTGTGTATCCACTCCTGTTTTGTGCAAGGAACTTAAATAAATCCTCAGATCAATGTTCTTAATACAACCTTCTTGGCCCAGATTGCTGCAAGAGTTTATCCGCTGCTTGGGTTACATCAGTTGATCCTGACCATTTGGTGGCAGGAGGAAAATGGAAAGCAATGAACTATCTTTCAAAGGAAATTTGAGAAAATGAGATTAGACAAGTTAGAGAAGCTTGCATTTGGGTCTGTGAATAAGCTGGTACAACATCGATTGCCATGAAAATTGGCTAATATATGATGAGATAGTAATTCATTCATAAGGGAATGATGAAATGTAAACATCTTGAGTAGAGAGTGAAGTTTTCGGAAATATCTCTCTGCTTCGCAAATGAAATATCTCTGGCTTTCTAGATTTTCACGGCTCATATGTGTTAGCTGATGGAAATGTCTTTTGTGTCTAGTTTAAAATGCTACAAAGATTTGTTGTAAATGTTCTTGGATGAAATGGAACCTCTAGTGTTATTTCAGTGGTATAACGTTTGGTTGTTTCGAGTTGTTTATAGTCTACTTCATTTCATGCAAACAATTAAAATAATTATTCATAACAAAGACTTGGATAATTGTTACTGAGAAGACAAGCATTTGTTGTTTGTGTACATCATCTTAAAGTGTGGAGCTTCATGCTTTGGTAAAACTGCTGCTAATATTACAATACCACTCAGAAGGGCCAATCCAAGTCCTAAACCGTTCACAACCATTGACTCGGTGCAACGTCTCAATACATCTCCTCTGGTTTGCAAGAATGTCAATTTTTCCAGAAGCCCTGTCTCAGCTGTTACCACTGCCAAAGCATATGTGTAGTGGCCAAGAAAGACATGCCATGGCAAGACTCTCACCCTTGTGGTTCGCACCTCTCCTTTATGCCAGAAGTTCAGAAATCCCAGCAACCACTGCAAACGAGATCAGGACGTCTATAACAAGCAAAGTTACCCCAGTAGTCTTTTTACCACTCCTACTGGAGCCATAGTTACCCCAGTAGTCTTTTTACCCTAGTAGTCTTTTTAGCAGCATTTGCTTCCCAACCTGAAAACCAAAATACAATTTAGGGAGAATGGTACATATTAATGACTTGTAGGATAGCTACTTAGATACTCTTGTTCCCACTAAATCAAGGAGAAAACAAGCACACATCCTCTAAAGAAAACAACTACATAGCTGGAATCAGTTTCCTCATGTCCTGCAGAGATATGCAGCAGGACTAGATTCTTTCTAAATCAGTGCCTATTGCTCCAAGAAAAGGTATATCTAAGCAGTAGCAAGCGCCACTAATCAACATAATCAACATAATCAAGCACTATATTGAGAGCACAGTAGACCACATCTGAAATATAGAAGACTAAAAGCCTCAGATGACTTGAATGTCTATCACCAAAGGTACAAGAAGAGTAAATTTCAATCCCGGAAATTCTTAAAGAAAAAGTGACAAAAAAAGTGACAAAAAACATTTTCGGATACAGAAATACATTCTTCCCAGTCTCATCTTTCAGTTCCAAACTCAAACTTCAATAATCAAATGATACAGATTAAACCACAATTCTTCACAATTCTTCAATAATCAAATTGGCACCAGCTTAACAAATTCACAATTCGCAATTCTTTCTCATTTTCGGATTAAACCATATTGCATGCTGTTCTTGACAACCATTCAGCCTATCCACTATCTAATGAAACAGATTAATAATATCCCATATAAAGAAAAGAAAACACCCAAATAACAACTTGAGTTCAGTTAATCACAATTTCCAAAAATAAAAAAATTAAAACATAAATTATTAGAATTTCAGATAGGAAACCAAAAATGAATGAAAAGATAAAAGGAAAGAGAACCCACCATGGCTTTGATCTTGGAATAGAAAGATCCAAAAAGTTGCAGGTTTTTCCTTCTCCTTGAATCCAACACCCGACCCGAGTGGACGACCCGCATCATACTCAAAAATTCACCCGCACCAGTCGACGTTGGTTCCATCCGTGACGCCGGCGGCATTGAAGACTTGTCCGGATCGTCTCAACTTTGTGGGACAACCTGTGAGTCGACGTTGGGACAACCCGTGACGCCGGCGGCATTGAAGACGTGGGTCGGGTTAACACTAGCAATATCTGATCAGAAACTTGAGGGGCTTGAGGGACTTGAAGGGCTTGAGGGGCTTGAAGACATGAGTCGGGTTATCTTGAGGGGCTTGGTTTGGATGCCGTAGATCAGAAAATTGAGGGGTTTGGAATAAAAATCTAAGCTGAGAATTTAGGTTGAGAAGGAGGACGGAATCCAAATGAGACTGTGGTATATACACAGACAGCAAGTACCACTTGCCTTTATAAAGTGACGTTTATGTTTTATTTTCTTCTTTATGTTATCATAAGCTAATAACAAGCCCCACAAGACCGTACTCCATTTCAGCAAAATAACCTGAGTCTCTTCCGCATAACCCTGGCTGCTGCCTCTCGACTCACTCTGGCTTTCTCCTAAAATATTTCTCCTATTTCAATGGTAACCCAAATTGTATCTAATCCGGCTGGAAAATCATGCAATATGTGACCACTCAGCTGCACTCAACAGTTTGCATAAAATCTAAAATATCTCATACCAAGCACTTGAAAAGAGCTAGTGAAAACAAACAGAGAAACAAGCAAAACTTAGTTCCATTGTGCTATGAATCATCAAAAGAACAAAAAGACCATACACTGGTCACAGAGTTTTATCAGTATCAGCACCACATATGTGCTATGAACCGTCAACAGAACAACAAGACCATAACATGGCCATAAAGTCTAATAAGTACAAGCACAATAGACTGAGAATCCTAATTATCTTCATTTGCAACCATGTCAACAAAAAGCATATGTAAACAAAGCCTGAAGGCTAGAACATTGCATATTTAGATTGAGAATTTTTTTCAGAAGTTGCTGGCAATGTTGATGTAGGCCCTGGTTGTGCTGAAGTAGGAATAGATCCTGATATTGACCCTCCATTGTTGTTGCCAGCAACTGATCTTCTTCCAATGACCATAGCAGCAAGATTTTTGCCCAGTAGATTTGAAGCTCTTGAACTCCCAAACATTTCTTCATGTGTTTGAGATAAAGCAACATGTCTAGTATTGCTTTCTCCCTACAATTTCATGCATGTTTATAGTTAGCAAAATCTACAAATATGAGAATTTGAGTACATGACATTAGAAGTCACCTGAGAGACTTCAATGGGAGGTTGTGTACTTCCAGCAGGTAGAGTAACTGATTCTTGTGTGGGACAATAAGTAGATGTTGGTCTGCTAGTTCCAGTAGATACACGAGGTTCCATTCCACTGGTCTGACCAAGTAACTTCAGTAAGAATGAAAACAAGGTTAGAAAATGCTTAAGATTACAGTCCATGGTACGTAAGAATGTAAGAGTTTGAATAGTGCACTCCACATTTCTTCTCTTGAAATTGCCTTTTCTATCCCTCTTTGGACCACCTTCACAAGCTCTTTTATTGTGCCCAAATTGTTGACACAAACTACACTTCAGCGTGGATGATCTTTTTCCTTGGCCTACAGCTGGTGCTTCTCCTTGCTCCCTTCTCCGGGCCTTTCTTGGCCTGCCAGCTTTTCTTCTAAGTACTGGTGGTAGTACTTTTGAAGGATTCACTTCAATAGGTGGCCAAAACTTTACATCTGGGATTGGATGAATGACTTCATTGTATGCTCTGATGTAAAATTCTTTTGTCTTGCTAAAATCACAATAACTTTCCAAATCTGCTCTCTTGTTAATAAGAACAGCTGTTGCTTGCTTGCATGGTATTCCAGACAAGTTCCATACCTTGCAATCACATGTTCTCTCATTGATGTTCACAATGTAAGAAACATTACAATCCTTCACTTGGAATTCGTTACCACTTGCAAGCAGTATAGTGCACTTTCTACATTCATTAGCAAGTACATTAAGTCTGTTTTTCACATTTGAAACCACATTATTCTTATAAAGACAGCCTTTTTCAAATCTTTTTAGCAGCCTACTCATCAACTTAGATCGAATATTGTCCAGCAATGTTAACACATTCTTACCCCTTAGATCTCCTATCCAATGATTGAAAGATTCAGCAATGTTGTTTGTGATGTGATCATTCTTCAAATCTGTGGGGAAAGCATGCCTAGACCACAAGTGATAAGGAATTTTCTCCAGCCACTCGTGGGCTGCAGGTTTTAAATCCTTAATTTTGGCCATAGCCTCCTTAAAGTTTACTTCAGTGTAAGCCCTTGAAGCTTGCCAAAATAATTGCCTAAGCATAACTCCTGGAAAACGGCCTCTAAAATTGCTATATATATGCCTGCAACACTTTCTGTTCACTGCCCATGGTACCTTAGAGTTAATGGCTTCAATCAGTCCCTACAAACGTCAAAAAATACATGTGTTAAAATCCCAAAATCAGTGATTGATTAATTGAATGAGTTGTTAAGATCTTACTTTTTGCCTATCAGTCATGAAAGTCCAAGGCCTATCCCTTGGAAAGTCATCAAGCATTGCAGCTAACCATTCAAAGAAAAACATCCAGCTTTCTTTATTCTTACTCTCAACAATGGCATAAGCAATAGGATACAATCCATTATTTCCATCTAGACCAATTGCAGAAAGTAAAACCCCTCCATACGGCCCTTTCAAGTGACATCCATCAAATCCTATGAAAGGAAGGCAGCCACCAAAAAATCCTTTCTTTAGTGCATCTAACCCCACAAACATTCCTTTAACTGAAGGAACAGCCGATGCCAAAGTCATTTCAAATTGAATCTTAGCTATACTACCAGGATTTGTATTCATAATCATGACACAATACTTTGGCAGCAAGCTATAGCTATCACCATGGCTACCATCAATAATGTCCTGTGCCTTTTGCTTTGCTCTATAAAGCTGCATATCAGTAGGAAAAACACCATACTTAGCCAATTCATGCCTTAATAGCTCAGGTTTAACAGTGGAATCTGCCCTCAATAGGTCAATTATTTTTCTTGCAATCCACTTGGCAGAAGCAACAATTTTTTCACTCATGACACAAGTATGATCAGGTGTGCATGTTTTTACCATATATGTCATCTTATCAGGTGCTGGAGAAGCATGTACTCTCCAATCACAACCTTGATTGCCACAATGCGCCGTAACTCTAGACTTTTCATTTTTATAAAAAATTAGAGGAAAACCCCACTGAATTTTATATTCATATAGCACCCTTCTAAAAGTATCAACATTTGCAAATATCATTCCCTTTAAGAGCCTAAATTTCTCTCCCTCAGGCATGGAAAACTCAGCAATATTTAGGCATGCACCCATTAAATCATCCTCCAAGTCACTGTCGGACTCATTTTCAGCTTCAACTTCATCATTGGACTCATAATCAGACAAGTCTCCACCAGAATCTAACTCATTTTCCAATCCCTCTTGTACAAATGTACTAAATAGTTCATCATCTAAGTCAACACTTATCTCATCATTGTCACTATAAACATATAGCTCATCATCAGTTTCCACTTCATCCTGGATCCCTGCATCAACACCATTCAAAACATTTTCGAATTCCTTTCTTTTACCCAACCTTTTGCTAGTTATAGTATTTTGTCTAGCATTTCCTTCTGCCCAACCTTTTGAATTCTTCTTACCAGCCCTTTTGGTATTGCTACTCTCTGTCCCATGGAAGTTTACACCCACCACTTCAAAGTTCATAGCAATATCAACATTGCTACCATCTATTCCCGTGTTATTTTCATTATCATTATTAACATTGGCACTAATATTATTAAAATTCAGCCCCATAATATTTCCATTTCCATCAATATTGTTCCCATTACCAGCATTTTCATTCAAGTTCTCTTGAACATCATCACAAACCTGCCTAACATAAACATTGATACGTCCATTCCTCCTATGTAAACCAACCATTTCCAGCACATCCGAATCAGTTTCAATGTTCATTGTTTCCACAGTACCAGGGATATCACAACATAAAGCAATCATGATATTTTGTCGACTAGAAATACGATTCAAAACATTCTCACAAACATCAGATAACAAGTCAATGTAAGAATAGCGATCGGGATCAATATTCCTTAGTTCAAACTTCATGCTTTCACAATGAAGAGTAATGTCGTAGACACTTGCAAGTCCAGCCTAAAACCACGAAAACAACAAAGTTTATCATGTGCTTCATTAACAAATAGCATTAATATGATGAGAAAAAACTGATTTGCATGCAACTAAGTTTGAAGATATGAATCAACGTGGAATCTGACATAACAGGAAATAAATAAAGATTTCCTATTAAACCCTAAATTGTAAAACTATTTTGATAAACGACTAATACAACCTTATTGTGGTTCAAACAACTAAAAATTACATATGTATTTTGCCAATGTAGAAAAAAGTGATATATTAAAAAATTTCACAAAAACTCCAGATTTACATTATTAAATCTGGATTTCTTGTTATTTATGACTACGTTCACCACCCATATAACTATTATACATGCAGTAGCAACCAAAAATGCTGGCAATGTTGTATTGATGCATCACAATCAAAAACCCCTAAATTTGAAGCATATTTGTGTCCTAGAAATCAAACTAAGAAGGATCTAATGTATATAAATATTAGATCCGTGCATGCAGAACTCATTTTTTTGGTTCAAATAGTATATAATACCCATGCAAGAAATGATCAGTTAAAGATAGTACTATGCTTAGGCCTCCAATAGCTTTCCGAACCTACAACCTTTGTTGTGAAAAATTTCTCCAGCCACAATATGTTGATATGTAGACAACGCACTGTAGTTTTTGAGTTTTATTTTAGTGATTTAAGGATTAAGCAACGATAGAAACATAGGGTTTCATGGAAAGAGAGTACAAGAAAAGTGAGAGTGTAGTATGATAATCTGATGTTGGGATTGTAGGGGTTGAAGTGATAAAGTCGCTATCTGTCTTGTTTCCCGCCTAAAGGGTAAAATTGTAAGTACATATTTCTATTTTTATGTC